ACCAAAGAGGCTGGGGACACTGTTCAAGGATCAGCCCTGTCTGAGTTCCTGAACTGGGGCAGTCTGCATCATAAGCAGGTCAAACCTTAGCCTAAGGTTTCCCAGGGAGGTCATGACAGAATTGAGATTTTGTTAGTGGGAAAAACTCAAGAAACAGCTTACAGCCATATGCTATAAGATGCATCAAAAATGAAATGTGCCATCTGGTTTGGATGAGTCCAGGGGAGCTGTCATGGTTTTCAGAATCATTTTGACCCTTTTGGGGCATTTGACATCTGTTGACCTCATGGGCAGGTGATAGTTCACCATGGCAAGCAATCAGGAGTCTGGGGACAAGTGACATGGAACAGGCTCCAATGCTTCATGAACCAACACTGGGGTCTGGGTGGAATGACACCTCATCCAGTCCTTCCAAGACCATTTCTACCTTCCTCCTCTGGTGGGCACTCCTCCTCCTTTCAGGCCCTGAAGTCAGTTTGCTAGTTAAGAGGGGCACCCCATTAGGGGACCATGGCTTTGCTTGGTGCATGAGGAACGTGGGCCATGGGCCAGATACGTCCTTGAAAGTGATGCTGTGGTCCCACAATTATGGTAACCACATGTTTCCAATTTCTTTTGTCCTGTTTCCAAATACTCTTTTGTCACTTCCATGTATATTGAAACCTCCTGGGAATTTAAATATGTCAGCATCCAAATGACATTTTCCAGACTTCCTCCAGAACCCACCAAAATTATAGGACAGACCACATCTCCATTTGCTCATTGGGAATATAGGCATTGTACTAATACCTGATCTTTGGGTCCAGTACCCACAATTGTGTTGTAAAAAGAAGCTAGTGAGTGATAGAAGGGGCTGTGTTGTAATATTGAGGGTGCTGGGGCTGTGGGAATGCCCTGATAGTGGACTCTCCACTCGGTCTCCCACCAAAGCCCTGGAGTACAGATTGTATCCAACAGCTACCTTCCCACCCGGATCTACATTATCAAGTGAGTTCATCCACTCATGTGTGCCGTCATTTACAGATTGGCCCTCTCAGTGTTTCGGGCACTGTACTAGGCCATGTGATCCTGGAATGCACCTGGTGTCCTAGGACAGTAAAAGGCAGTTACGAGGCAAAGGAATAAGTGTGGATGGAGAAGGGGCCCTGGCCAGGTAGGGAATGGGGAACAGGATGGATTTCTGGAAGAAAGGGACATCTAACCTGAAATCTAAAGAAGAAAACTCCAGGCCAGCATAGAGATGGGGGTTTTCTGAGGTAAGGGAGTTCATATCCATATCACTATCCATTACCTTCCTTGTCCAGCTTCCAAGATGGCACCTCCATTCACTCTCCCCAGTTTCTTCTGTTTCCATCTATGCATTTGTCATTACTTGTTAACTAGCTTCTTTATTAGTCTCCCCAGATAGAGTGTCAGCTCCAGGAAGGCAGAGCCTTTGTTTATGGTTGTATCCACTGCTCTTCTGCAGATTATCAGTCTAGATGAGTAGGGAATGGAGTGAGTTCAGGCTAGCAAGAGCAGAGGGACCAAGTCAGGGACTCTGAATGTTAGCCCTTCCGGTCCCTATGACCAGACATGGTGAATGCTGCCTGACCTGCTGCAGGATCCATAGCTTTCTCCTCTCACCCTACTGCACTCCCCAGGCCCACACCAAGGCTCCAGTTCTTAGCTTCCCAGAGCTGAATGGTGCACTGCTACATGACATGGTGCTGGCAGCAGGTCTGCGAGAGCTCAAGGTTGACACCTGCACAGGAGTGGGCCTCCATTGCTGTGCTGCTGGCTCCAGGCTAGCGCTCCTCATAAGCCCCTGGGGAGTCTCTGTGTCAGACCAGGCCTCTGGATCCCAGCTTCCCTCCACGGTTTCTTCTCCAGGATTTCTGTGTTCTCTCGATGCCCCTCAGCCTTTCTCTTGACAGCCTGCGGGAGCTGCATTTTCAGTAACTGCCTGGGGTGGATGGCTGTGGGGCTGCTGGGTTAGGGATGGAGGATGCTTGATAAACGCACTGACTGTTGACAGGGGCCTTGCAAAGGGATCGCTCTGTAGTCTTCTAGTGTCTTGGGAGTGGTGCAGTTTCCTGGTGGCTTCTTTGGTTTTCCTGTGCAGAACATTCTGGGTTCAGTCTACCAGCACATAATGGACACATGGCAGGCTCCAAGTCCTCTTCTTTCTCATGTGGTACACATGTGTGAGTTGTCAACTCTACTGTCCTCTTCAGGGGCCTATAAGGTCTTTGCTAAGTCATGGTCATTTGAAGGCGAAAATCCCCTTGCCCACCTGGCCAAAAAAATAAAAATAAAGTAGGGAAGGGAAGGAAAGGGAGGGAGGAAGGAACTAAGGAAGGAAGGAAAGAAGGGAGGGAGGAAGGAAGGAAGGAAAGAAGGGAAGGAGGAAGGAAGGGATAATTACCCCAAAGAAGCAGCATTTGATCAGGCTTGCTCTTTCATCCAGCAGTTCACATAGGGGTTTTCCTGCACTGCATCTCCCACTTGTCACCATATCACAGTACAGTTCTCCCCCAGCCCCACCGCACATGTCCCAGATGGTAAGCTTTGATCACTTCCCTGGCTTGGAATCCTTGATTGTTGGAGCTGGAAGGAACCTTAATCCTGTCACCTCTGAATGCTCATATATAGACCAAGAACTGCTGAATCACTTGGGACACCAGGAAAAAATGCAGATCCCTGACTCCTGCCACCAACCAGGTCTGGTTGACCCAAGAGTCTGTAATGAGCAGGTGTTCCTATGATTTTGACCTTTGGCCAGATTCAAGACCACTCACTCACTGACCACTCCAGTATCTTATCAAATGAGGAAGCTCGGATCCTCCTGGGTGAAATACATCCCCTCCCCATGAGTAACAGGGCAGCCAGGATGGTGAGAAGGATCACCACGTAGACACATCGGGAAACCCAAGTTGTGGTCCCAACTGTGGCATTAACCATGTGTTGTCTGAGACCATGCCTCCAGCTAAACCCTGGCTTTGAGCTGATCAGAGGCTTCTCCCTGTCACTCCAATCTTCTTTGAGTTCCCAAAACAACCACCTGAAAACTAATGCAATGCCTTGTAATGAAAACAATGGGCTTTACTCCTTTTTCCATTCAGAAAACGCTCATTCATTTCCTCTAGCCAGACTCTAAATGGAGGCAGTGTCTGTCAGTCTTTAGTTCAGGGGAGCAAACTAGCATGGAGGAGGACCTGCCACATGTGGACACTGTGCCTGGAGCCCTGTGCATGTCACTTCAGTTGCCTGCACAGTAGTCCTGTGAAGCAGATGTGTCCTCATTGGGGGAAATGACTTCAGAGAGGCTATTTTAAGGTCATTCAAGTAGAAAGAGCCCACAGGGTGGGGGCACCATTGTAAGGTCTTTATGCTTATTACTGTATTCCATGCACTATTTTATCATCTCTGAAGTCAGGAAGCACCAGCAACGGGTGTCATCTGCCATCATAACTGGCAGAGCTTTCCCTTTTTAGTGGCATTTTAAGTACAGCTGTGCCTTATAACAAGGAGCTTCTTAGATTTGGCGAGTCACTTACTCTCTCACTGACAGATCATGAGAGGCAGAACCAGAATTCACAGTCAGGTCTCTAGTTTAGGCATTTTCCTGCTCACAGCTTAGTGGGAAAGTAGACACGAGTGACGAACTTAGGGCTGGATACTTCGTGGAGACCACTCCACCTCCTGAGCTGCACAGCAAGGCCACCTGCCCACAAAACCTTGGCCAACCCTGGCTTCCTCTGCTCCTCCTACGTTCCTCCCTGACCAGTGTGGCTATGGGTCACCAGGTGTCAAAAGATGGAGGGAAATCCAGCAATCATACCCCCTTGGTATTATTTACCCAAATGAATTGAAAACTTACATTCACCCCAAAACCTACATGTGGGTGATTATAGCAGCTCGATTCATAATTGCCAGAACACAGAAACAACCAAGATGCCCTTCCATAGTGGATGGAGAAACTAACTGGAATATCCAAACAGTAGAATATTAATTGGCACTAAAAATAAAAGAACAATCAAGCTGTGTAAGACATGGAAGACCCTCAAATGAAGATTGCTAAGTGAAAGAAGCCAATCTGCAAAGGCTGTGCCCTGTGCAACATCAACACTTTGACATTCTGGAAAAGACTGTAAAAGATCAGGAGTTCCAGAGGACAAACGAAGAGAGGCACGAGTTGATGGAGCCCAGAGAAATTTTAGGGCTTTGAAACTACCATGTGTGATTTGGTGATGGTGGGTGTAATATACAGTTGTCCAAACCTTAGGACATACCAAATCCAAGACTGGGTTGTGCCTGAGGGCAACTATGGTCACAATCATGTGACAACAGAGGATTCTCAGTTGTAACAAATACACCACTCTGGTCAGGGATGTCATTAATAGGAGAGACTATGTATATGGGGACAGGGAGAATGTGGGAAATCTCCATGCCTTCCCGTCAATTTTGCTGTGAACCTAAAACTCTTTCAATTTCAAAAGAGAGAAGTAGGGAGCCAGGTGCAGTGCTTATTTCTAGAATCCCATCTAATCTGGATATGGATACTGGGAGTATCATGGTTCAAGGCCAGCCTGGGCAAAAATTTAATCAGATCTCCATCCCATTTCAACAACCAACCTGGGCTCGGTGGTGCGTGTCTGTAGTCCAAGCCACTCAGGAGCTGTAGGTAGGAAGGATCACAGTTTGAGGCCCTCCTGCACAAAAAGTGTGAATCCCTATCTGGAAAATAACTTAAAGCAAAAAGGGCTGTGGACAGGTTCAAGTGGTAGAGCACTTTCCTAGCAAGCTCAAGGCCCTGAGTTCAAACCCCAGTACTGGGAAAAAAAAAAAAGTGGGATGAGGAAGGTTGACAAAGGGCAGGAGTGACACACCCTCGTCTTGTGACTGGAGCGCCAGCCCTCCACTCCCTCCTCCCTTGATTGCAGGAGACTCAGGGAGGGCACCCGGATGGGGCCCCGGGGTGTCCTGAGTCCCATGGTGACAGTGGCTGTCCCCGGCAGGTGGCATGGACTTCGCGATGATCCGTCTGATGAACGGCTCGGGCCTGCATGAGGGCCGGGTGGAGGTGTACCACGACCGGCGCTGGGGCACAGTGTGTGACGACGGCTGGGACAAGAAGGATGGGGACGTGGTATGCCGCATGCTAGGCTTCCGCAGTGCAGAGGAGGTGCACCGAACGGCCCGCTTTGGACAAGGTAAGGCTGCAGAGGCTGTGGACCCTCGAACTGGCCACCGCTTCAAAGCCCTCATCCGAACTGCCCTCGCCTGAGAAGTTGAGGCAGGGCGGGCAGTGCTCAAGACTTAGGCTCTGGGGTCTGAGAATCCCAGATGGTGACCTGGAGCAGATTTCTTAGTCTTTCTGAGTTTTAGCAATTCCACTTTTAAGTTGACTAAAATGTCATTAAATGAGGTCCTGTGCTGACGTGTGCACCGTTGCACACGTCTATCTGCTGTCAGTTGGGTGGAGGGGCTGTTGGCCAAGGGGTGATCGTACCCAGACTCCTCCATGAGCCACTGTACTCATGGCTGTCTCACCACCGCTGCAGGCTCCGGTGGGGACCAGGGCTCTTTCTAAAGAGCACCTGATCTTGTCACTGAACTCTCAGAGAGTCTTTATTAATCTTGGGATCAAATTTGGTCTTCTTAGCTTAGCACTCAAAGCCCTTCTGTTTGTTTGTTTGTTGAGACAGGGTCTTACCATATAGCTCAGACTGGCCTTGAACTCACTACATAGCCTCGGCTACCTCTCACTCACAATCTTCCTGCCTCTGCTTCCCAGATTGGGAAGCAACTTGTTGGGATTACAGGTGTGTACCCCCAAGCCCGGCTCAAGGTCCTTCTTAATCTACCTCCCACCTTGTCATGCTGTTCTTCCATTACAGGCATCTGCTTGTGTTTCTCAGAGCAAACCTGATGCTGTTTCTTGTTACTATGTCTTTTCATATGCCGTTCCTTCTTCAGCTAGGGAATTCCTGCTCAGCTCCCAAAGTCAGCTCAGTTGTCACCTCTTAGAGGAAGCTTTTATGGCTCCTTCTGCCCTTCATCTCATGATGAAAATGCCCCAGCTCTATGCTCCATAGCAGTTTTTGGGATACGTATTTCTGTCGCTACGTCTCTCACATGCCCCTGATCTTGAAAATATGGGTATATACCTTTATAGTTCTGAGCTTCAGCATTGGGACATAATAGATACCTGATAAATAGGGGAGCAAGAATGGAAAGGAAGGAAGGAGGGAGGGATGGAGGTGGGGGGGGAGAAATTTCAGTGCTCACCTAACCTGCACCCTCCTCAGTGTAACGTGAAACATCTCCAATCCTTGGCAGTTTTCCCAGTGGTTCAGCACTGTAAAGTTTTTCCAGGACAGGACTTAGTAATTAAATTATGTTTCCCAGGGGTAAAGCAAGGAAAGACCGAAAGGAGAGAGATGAGATGTTTTTGATTTTTAAACTGGTCCAGGAGAGATTAAAAGGGAATGAGGCTATTGGATTGAGGTCTGGGGGGTGGTAGGGAGGAGACTGGGCACAGCTGAAATAGTCACAGTCCAGCAGGGAGCATCACTCTGTGAGGCGATGCACAGAAAAAGAGTTAGGGAAGGCTGCAAACATCAGGCAGGTTTGCAGGTGGGAGTGGGTGGATGGAATTAGGAGTGTTCACTCCTAATCACATCATTATCATTTCTTGTCCTTTTTTACAAGATAAAGTGTGAATAGAGAGGTGTGGTTGAGAGTCGGCCAGCATCTTCTGTATAGAGCCAGATTAAATGTCTTGGGCTTTGTGGACCAGATTATCTCCTTCACAACCACTCAGCTGTAGGAAAACAATCATAGACAATATATAATCAAACGGGTGGAGCCATGTTCCAATAAGACTTTATTTATAAAAACAGGCATTGGGCAGTATTTGACCCATGGTTTGCCACCCTGACTTAGCGTTATGTGTGTGGACTGTGGCTCTATGGTAAAGAGAAGGGCCTATGCTCACTGGGCATCAGAGGTTGAGTCATGCCCTGCCTTGATAAGGTTACAGGACCATGGACAAGTCACTTCTCTACTGGGGTCTCCATTTCCCTTTTTCTTAAGTACCTGTTAAACCCTTGCCCACCTAACTGTGTGAGTTCAGATGGATCCCCATAGAATTCAGTATCAGTTATTCCTGTTCTTCATATTACTTAGTAAAGATAGAATTTCAAATGTTGGCTTCATGAGACAGATTTTTGGCTTTTGTTTTGTTTTGTTGTGACTGCTATTCAGTGAATATTCCACACGCACAGAATGGGGCTGAGCACAGAGTAAGCCATCAAATAGCTGTCAAATGAATGAATCACCTTCAATCACCCGTACTGAGTATCACACACCTGGGCTAAAGTCCCAATCTTGCCTCAAGTGAAGGGTGCCCAGTTGCTTTGTCTTCTCGTCTGCAAATGGGAAGACATAGGCCCTCTTACCTAAGAGGACTTTACTGTCAGCTGAAAATAGATAACCAGGGCAGAGGTGCAGCCCAAGCCTGAGCAGGGCTTCTCAGACTTGAATGTGCATCTGCACTGCCATTCCTAACCAGCCCCCAGGCACGTTGACCCTCCTGGTCCTGGAACCCCGCCCCTTGAGTAATCACAGGTGAGTTCTGAAGCCCAGGTAAGAGTACTTATTAGCTTCTGCGACACGAGTGAGGAGTAGAGGTATTTGCTGGTTCCTTAGCCTTCGCGATGCCCCACATGGTTGTCGGAAATGTACATATTCAGGCTGCTTATTTAATGACCCTAGTCTCAGTTTATTGGCCTTTCTGTGAATGGACATTGGCCAGAACTCCCTGGCTAAACACCAGCTAGAACGTGGACTTTCCAGATCTATATGCACATTTGAGCCTTGTAACCTTGGGCCTGTTCTTTATTTGCCAGTCTCTTTTATTTGCTTCTTTATTTGCTTTGGGTGTGACTAATCCCACAGAGCTCTTGGGCCTGCGGCCTTTTCCTGGGTAATTTGTGAACCGATGTGTTTTCCAGGAGATGTTTAATCTGTGAGTTATTGCTGTGCCTCAAGGGTTTATTGTGTAAGAGCCGGGAAGAGGCTCTGTGAAGACAGGATCCAAGAAGACAGTGGAAGGAGGCCTCTCCTCCCTGTTCTAGCCCTGATTCAGTGCACTGCAATCCAGTGACAGCGGATCCGCATGACAAAAATATGTCTTCATCACTAAGTTCATGCAGTCGATTCAGTCAACAGCACTGGGACTTAGATGCTCCTTGACATTCTTTGTAAAGACGTTTTATCAGGCAGCTCTAAACCAGTGAGTGACAATGTTTAAGGTTTTAGTCGTCAGTCCTGACAGGTCCACTAATGAGAGAGAGTGTGTCCTGCCTCTGGATGATAGTGCGAGGGTCACGTAGGGTATTGATCACTAAGTCACTTTCCAGTATAGGAATTATCACCTCGTTGACTTGCTCAGGCTAACACAGCCTGGTTTATTACCCTCAACTGTATCCTTTTTGGTCCCATGTCACAGCCCTAACAAGAGAAGGTGCTGGAGTGGCTGACAGTCCCATAATTTACCAGGTCTAAGCACTGAAAATCCCACAACCTAGGATACCCTTCCCAGTTTAAAGACTGAAGAGGTCCTCCAGGTGGCATTGAAACTTGGATCCAGTTGTGCCCCATGGAAAGACTGGCTTCTACCTCTGTGCCAGAGCTTCTCCTCCTTGATGGGGCCTAGGCAGGATGCAAGACTGCATTTCTAACAAGCCCGCAGTGACATGATTGCTTGGGGTCCAGGACATCACTGTGGAGCAAAGCTACTGCTTCCACAGGAGCCCGAAGCTCAGCCATCCTTCCAGAGGGCTCTGGAATGGACTCTGGACATCTGGGGCCAAGCAGAGCCATCAGCCCAGAAAGCCCACCAGTCCCCACCAGCTCATCAGTGAGGACATAGCCCAATCCCTTGTCCACACCCCCACCGTACACAAACCCTCCCCAATCACTTGTGGAGGCTTTCCCAGCTGCCCTTGGTTCACTGAGGGGCCTCAGAACCAAGTTGGTGCTGTTCAAGGCTTCGTTTTGGTCCTGGGAGGGCCTGGGCACCTTCACACCATCTGGATGTCTCCCTCAGAGCTGGGTGAACAGGGCTGGCTGCAGGTAAAGCTACCAAATAGATTATATTAGGGACTTGTATTTGAGGGACTAACCTAGTTATTTATGGTCTGGGGATGCAATTGCTTTATCCTTAAATATCTGTCTGGTTATAATGTTCAATTCTGGGATCCTTTCCATTCCAGAGCTCCTGTTTTGAGTTCAGAGAATGACTGTTTCGCGCTGTCCCTCTGATCAGGCCTGCTTCACCAGTGCTTCACAGTACCATATCTCATTGTCTCTTATAAGGTGTGAGCCTGGGCAGCAGCAAGACTTAAGTTTGAGATTAGATTCTTATAAGCTGGGTGACCTTGCATTAGTTTCTCTCTGAGCCTCCATTGCCCCACCTGTGAAATGGGTTTATTAATGTATATTGCAAAGCACTGTGGTGAGGACTGAAGAAGCTCCTGTGTGTAGATGCTGGATACATAGGAGATACTCACTTAATACCATCCTCATCAGTTATTGCCATTCCACCCACAAGAAACTGTGCCTAGAAGTAAGTGTGAGTTCTTGGTGGCACATGGTGAAAAGGGTAGGTGGGAGCCACCATGTGGTATCTGATAAGTGTTTGAAGGTCAGGGACAGCCACGCAACCAAGGGCAGACACAGGCATGCACCCCTGCTTAGAAGCTGTGTTGACCTGTCTGTCTCCATAGGCACCGGAAGAATTTGGATGGATGATGTCGCCTGCAAGGGCACTGAGGACACCATTTTCCACTGCAGCTTCTCCAAATGGGGAGTGACAAACTGTGGACATGCTGAGGATGCTGGAGTGACATGCAGTAGACACTAAAAGTGCTCCTAGCCCAAGGTCAGGGCCCTATCGCCAAGCCTCCCTTCTGCCTTTGTGAGTTAGAGGCATTGCTTGGGTCTACCGTGGCAATGCCTCTGCTCTGCCCAATCCAGTGCCCCCAGCTCCTATCACCCTGTTCCAGGACTATGGTGACCTATTGTCACTCCTTCCAGACATCTATTCCAAAGTTCTCTATGGGATGTACTGCCTGACTCTCCCTTCCAGCAGGGCTCCTGTGGGGAAAGCCCTGGTCAGCTGGACCACCAGTTTGCTCTGCTGTCTGAACACCATCCAGAGGGGTCCAGTGTCCATGCTCCCTTCAGTCTCTTGGTTACAGATGATGCTGAGATGTCAGAGACAAATTCAGCAGTGGAGATGGGAGGTGTTCTGCACTATTTACTCTTCAGATAATTCCCAAACCTCAGTTAGACCAAAAGTTCTATCACTTGCTTCCCCAACAAGTGGCAATCCTGAATGACTTGGTTTCCCCTCTTTTCCCTGTTCTACACACCATATGTTAGTTTGAGGAGATGAATAGAGGAGTGCATATCACCTGCAGAAACCCTGCTGGAGCTAGAGAAGGGGTGAAACTAGCCTTTATTACATGACTACCATGGTGTGCTAAATAGTATTTGGGGTGCTAAAAATCACTTATTCATTTTGTTGTGTTGCTACAAGGCATGTCAGTCAGGGTAAGGCCCTGCCTTCAGGTGACTCACCTGAAGGCACTCACCTGGCCCATTCACCTGGCCTCCAAGTCAAAAGATGGAGACTGGCTAAGACCAGGCTCCCACCAGAACTTTAGCATACCTTTGCTAGGCCTGAGCAGCATGCTTGGGCCGGAGACCTGGTTAATTAGGAAGCTGCATGCTCCAAACCCTACAGCAATTGAGTATAGGATGGGACACAGTGGGCTTCCAAGTCAAATCCACACATAGGAGAGTTGATTTGGAGGGTGACATGGAGGTTGTGCATGAGTCCAGTGCTTAGTACTGGACAGTAAGGGTTAAAGGCAAGGGTCCTGTGTTCAGAGCTGTTGGGAGGGTGTGATGTACCTTCCAGGTCTCTTCAGGTATGACTCTGTGGTCAGGCATGCATAGTCCTGATGGGTCCTAAAGGGTAGAAGGAAGTGAGGATTCCCTATAACCTCCTGGGGAAATGACGGCATCTGCAAGTCTATAATTTGTACCCCTCCTGGTGACAGGAGATGGATTCTGCTATTTACACGAAGAGGAAGTTGAACTGGGTCATGCAAATGTTCTAAAATTGGGGAGCTGCACAAGTCTCCCTTGCTTTGGGGGAATCACAAACTCACAGGCCTTGGACACACAATCACCTGTCCTGTCAGGTGAGAACTGTCTTACCTGGGGAAAGGGAAACCAGAGCCCCTCCAGGTGTAAGTCCAGCATAGGTCCTGGCTGACCATTAAGTCAGTATGTGCTCTTGGTCATTCTTTGCTTACAATATGCTTGTTACTCACTACTGTCCTGATGGTCAGAGGCTGTCCTTCTGATCAATTGCTATGTTTACACAATACGATTGTACTCATGCGTCTTCCAGAGCGGATACATGTATGCACATAGAAACTTAGCACTCTTTAAGATGTAGCTCAGCACATCACAAAGCTTATGTTTAATAAAAAACAAAACAAAATGCTAAAGGTGGAAAGATGACACTTTGAAAAAACTTCCCAACTCGGTTCTGGCACTGAAGCCAGTCACCCACAAATGAAGACCCATGTAATTTTCTTACTTGGTCTTTTCATTTGGTAAAACGTAAGTCTTGCTTTATGTCAAATAAAGAGAATGTTGAAAAGTGTTTGAACCTTAAAAATAAAAGTCGACTAGTTTACATACTTACCTAAGAGGACATGGAGGTGACCATGGACCTGTCTTTCAGGGACTAAAGAAAATTAGGCCTGGCCTAAAATACATCAGACTTTTTGTAAGAAAGACTTTCAATAAAGCAAAAAAAAAAAAAATCACTACAAAGTGTTTCATTATGTTTGGTCTCATGAAACTCAGGGAGTGTGGGAGGACTGCTGGAATTAGATGGGCTGATCATTTTCCAGAGGGGGTTGGTAGCATGGGCTGTTTATGAAAAAGCCCATGCCCATCTTAATACTTCCAGAGGACAATCAACACAGTCCACGCCAAGGACAAGATGGAACGTGCCTTAGTATGTTTTCTGTTTCTATAACAGAATAGCTGAGCCTAGGGAATTTTATAAAGAATATATAGCTCATGTTTCTGAAAGCTGGGAAGTCCAAGATCAGGCAGACACATGCAATGAGGGACTCATGCTGCTTTGACTCAGGGTAAAAGAGGGAGGGCAGTGGGTGCGTGCAAAAAGACAGAACACATGAGGGGTAGACCTTCTTTATAACTAGTCTCATAATCACTAAACCAGTCCTGTGAGGAGGAGAACTCGCGGGAGAAAAGTTCTTCCCCATGTCCCAAACACTGCTGTGCTGAGGCATTAAGGTTCAGACATACAAACTTTGGGGGACACACTCAAACCATAGTAGCATATGACATCTCAAGCCTTATTTGGTGAGCAAAGGAAGTGAGTCCCAAGTTTCAGAACCATACTCTAGATCACATCATGAGAGAACTGAGTCTGACGTCAGTAAAGAACACTGTCGATTTCCTCCCATCTCCAGAGTTCTTGCTGGAAATGTGTTTCCTCCTGGCTTCCATTCCCACAGAAGATCACTGAGCAGGTACTGGATCCCATCATCTAATAAGAGGCGGGAATTCCACGTCAGGACCTGAGCGATGTGGGGGGAAGACCCCTAATCACCACCCAGTCCTGGCCACCAGCTCCTCACTGGCACTTCTGGGAACATCTAACTCCCTAAGTTTGCTGTGGGTCTTGATGATTTGCTAAAAGTCAACAGAAAAGATTTTCCCAAGGAAGTATCCCTTTTTCTTCTTCTAAAAGGTCTGAGGTATCCCCCCCACACACATCATGGCAATTCTGGCTCTGTAGACAGCCCCATAGAGAAGGGCAGCAGCCTCTTTTTTCTGCTCTCCACTGCCTAAAAGGCACTGTGACTGCCCTCATCTCCAGTGCCTGTGAGACCTCACTTTGCAACCTACAGGTCTTGGCTAAGCCCAGCCACTTCTAGTGGACAATGTATGTATATAGGAACGTTACATGTCAGTGTGAAATGTTGTGGGCTGATGTCAAGGATTCTTGCCTTCACAGGCCAGAGAACTGGCTCATGAGGCAGCTGATTGGCTTGTGAGCCAAGGCTGGTACACAAAGTAGGACTTATTACATAGAAATGAGAGGCTACAGCTAGGGCAGTGCAGTGGAGCCTGGAAACCAGTGGCTGCCTGCTCAGGGGAAGGCTGGGGCTTTTTATGGATGCCTTAACTCTGGGTTAGGGTAAGGGTTAGGTAGGTTCTTTCCATTGGCCGTGGATTTGTGCACATGTGCCCTCTTCAATGAGTTGGTCTATTTGCCCCTTATTGGGGGTGGGGAGAACAACCTTGAGAGCATTCTGTTTATCAGCCCTGTGGCACATTTATGAGACCCTATATCTCCTCCTCAGGGTGCAGGAATGCAGATTTATAACTCCTTCTCAGGGTACAGGGCTCACAGTTCTCTCCATGGGGGATGGGATACACACTCATCTGTCCTTTAGGTTCCCAGACCCAACAAGCCCCCCCTCTGAGACAAATACCCAACTGCTGTTGGGGAGAGGGGCAATGACTCATCTAGCTGCTTCGTGCTGGCAATGGGGTGATGGGGAGGTAGGTGTGGTGATACTTGTCTCAGGGTTTGACCTGTGCAGCCTCCAGAGGCCCCTGATAGAACTGGATGGAGGGCTCATTACAGGCAGAGGTGAGTATTCCTTGACTAAGAGCTGGAATTTTATCTGTTGGACCTGTTGAGATATGAATCTGGAGAGAGCATTTATTATGCAAGGCCAAATAAGAGTATTATTATAAAAAGAAGGCCAGCCAGAGGTAGTGCCCAAGGAGTCCAGCTCCATGTGTTGTTCCAGAAGGACCTCGAATTGGCTAGCTCACTGTTATGAGGACTTAGTGAGGTAAAGGCAAACAGAGGCTGACTGTCAGGATATAGAGGAATGTAAAAGAAAGCATCTTTAAGTCTAGTACAGAGTAATATTGGGCTTTTGAGGGCATTTGAGTCAATAGAATATAGGGATTGGGAACAATTGGGTGGAGGGGAAGGGCTGCTTCATTAATGAGCCAGAGATTTTGAACAAGTTTTTATTTATCTGGTCCTTTTTAGACAGTAAGAATAGGAGTGTTGTAGGGGCTAGAATAACTGATTAGTAGCCCTTGTTTTTTAAGGAATTTGTGATAGGTAAAATGCTTCATCCCTCAGGCTTGAGGGAATATTGCTCTTAATGTAGAAGCTGTGAGGGATCTTTGAGTTTTATTTGAATCAGGAGGGCCATTTTGGCTTGCCCTACAGTCATTCCATCAGTCCACACTGTAGTATCTGCTTGTTCCTAAAGAAGGGTGGGGAGGAGAGTAGAACTTGAGCCTTTAGTTGAGATAGTAAATCCCACCCCAGCAGGGGCACTGGAATCCCAGGGACTCTGAGAAAAGAGTGACAGAAGTGGAGGTCTCTCCAAGAGCAGGCCAGAGGTTGAGTAAAATAGCGCTCCAGAGGCTGACCAGATATGTCCTGAATGATAACCTTGTTAGGTGACTGAGGACCAGGAGAGAATGGTAAGACAGAGAAATGGGCTCCACTGTCTAGGAGGAAAATGACCTTTTGCTTTTCTACTATTATGGTTACCTGAGGCTCCTTAACATTGTTGTCAAGAAGTGGAGCCTGGAAAGAAGGCCCCTGAACCCATCGATCCATAGGAGGTGGCACCCTGCCTTCCACCTGGAGAGGGGCGGGGCACTTTGAGCTCCATGTTTATTCTGTGGTTTACAAAGAACAGCCAGTGTTTGAGTATTTAGGTAGCAATTATGGAGCCATTCTGGATGGTCCTGGAGATAAAAGAAAAGCTGTATGTAGGGGACCTCAGTCCACTTTTTCTCCCTTTTACAGAAAAGGTCTAATTGGAGTATGGTATTATAATTTAAGGAGCTCTCTGCAGGCCACTTCTCTTGGTCACCCAAGGGATATTGGGGCCAGGCCTCAGTACAAAGAAAGATGAGGGTTTTTTCTTGAGATTATTAGGGTCAAAGTCCCCCCAACGTTTCAGTAACAGGCCAACAGAGACCACTTGGGTACTGAGGCCAGAAGTCTGGAGAGGCAAGTCCCATATGGAAAAACTTGTCAGACTCCCCTTTTGTTGGCATCCCAACAAAAGGGACTGGCCTGACGAGAGCAGGTGTCCCTGTCTCATGATTTCCTTCTGCTGTCCGTGGCCAGGACCAAAGGGAATGAAGTGGCTGGTCAGACTAGGCCAGCCTTATTGACACAGTGAGAAAAACTCTAGGATCCTGCCTTTTAGCCTTATATTACCAAAAGCAGGCAGCCTCTTTAACAAAGGGATGCATCACCTGGAGAAGTGCCTGTGGAGTTAGAGAAGGGCACTCAGAGGGAGTCCCAGGGCAATCACAGTACCACAAAGGGATGACTAGGGTCAACATTTGGAAGAAACTTATTTTTATTTTTATGTTGAGGCTGAAAGTGTAAGAAGATTTAAAGGTCCGGAAACCATAGCAATGCCCATTTTTGCTGTTCCCAGAAGGTTACATTAGTGTTTTTTGGGGACCATAACTTTGAGATAAGAATTGGCTCCAAGGGCTGGATCGGTCAGGCTCAGGCATGAAGTGGGGCTGGGCGTGGGGCTTGGGCCACCCAACCCCACCACTGGGATTAGTGAACCCCTCTGCCAGGCTCCTCCTCCTGTGTGCATTTGTTTGTTTTTCCCTTCATCCCTTTTTGGGGGAATGGCAGTGGGTTGCAGTTTGTCACCATGCATAGTGGCAGTTTTAGACACATGCTAGGCACTTTTCATGGATTGCCTTAGCTGTGGCAGGCTTCACCACTGTGCCCCGGGGAGTCTGGTGGGATGAGCCAGAGTCCTCATGCACATGCACGCTTTTCCCTTTTCCCCTTGGGAGGTGGGGTTAGGGCATGTGTGTGGCATGGCAGGAGGCTTGTGTTAGTCCTCACCCCTACTGGGTTCACCCCTGTGGCTTGCTGCTCTTCCTCCTGTGTGCACATTTATTTCCCTTCTCATCTCTTATTTTTGTGGCAGCAGGTTGTGGTCACCGTTGGGCAGCTGTCAGTGGCGGTGGCTCTGGTTGCCAGCTGGGATCGTCCCATGAATTGCCTTAGCTGTGGTGGGGGCTGTGCCGGGCGGGGGGGAGTTTGGGCACATGTGTGGCCAGAGGCCTGTGGTAGTTATCACCCATGCCGGGTCTGTCCCTCTGGGACATGGTTTCATGAGGTGCCTTCACCTCCGCTGGCACCCAGCAGCCAATTTAAAGCTGGTGTTGACAAAGGGGCATGACAAATTAGGTGTGGGAGTAACTGAAGAAAGTCATATTGAGCTATGGTATGAGTTTCCCATGGAAGGCCAGGCCCCAGTAAGCATAGGGAGGGGAAGGCAGACAGAGATGAAGGACAAGGGGCAGGATGAGGAAGGAGTGTGTGAGTAAAGGTGTGTCCACTGCTTCTGGCGGGAAAGAAGGGGCAAACTGACATCCTAAGTAAGGGAAGGGGAACAGAGCCTAGAGACAGGACACATGCTCGAGGGATTAACGATTAGGTATGCTTTCAGGTTGCTCCCACCAAGTGGTACTGAAACACTGTCAGCCACACAAAATCTCCACTCTTGGGTCACTGCCTCTGGCAGAAGGGGGTGTTGACAGGTGGGGAAAGAAGAATATCGCCAGGTGCCAAAACCAAACAGGTCTCCTCCAACGTAGCATAAGGTGTACCCAAATCAACTCTGAGCTTGTTCTTGGCTCACAGGGAGGGAA